CCACCCTCCACCAATGCCCCTAGTCCCTACCCCACCCCCATCCCACCCCACAAGCCTTCCTCCTTAGCAGGCACAAAAATAATTTACTTTATAGTGCTTGTCACAGCAAAAAGTCAAATGAGATTATCAAAAAATAGTTCAACGAAAGGAAAGGTGTGAAAATCGTTGCAACTCACAAGGGTGTTGTCGAAGTCAGTGTCAGGGTTTACTGAGCTGTGCTGGTGCTTGGGAGTCTCCTGTGTTACTGTTTTCACACCTATTGAGCTTGGTGGACTTCTATGCTGCTTTCCTATCTCATTTGCTTTGTTCCTACTGGGCTGGGCTGTCAGTAGTACAGAATTTGGAGGTGTTGCGTATGTGGCCACGTGCTCCAGGAGGCGGGGAACTGAGACATTAGGTGACCTCCAGCATCTCTTCCAGATTAGTTGGAGAGCTGTGAAGCTGGGCCATTTATTTGTTGGAGGATGTCGGGGTGTGGGTGGGACTGCTGGGGCTTCTGGCAGTACTGTGCATGTGTGTGTGTGTGTGTGTGTGTGTGTGTGTGTTGGGTGGGGGGTGGGCTTCCCAGTCCCCCGCTGAGAAAGCCCTGGAGTTCTCAGCCAGGTTTCGTCAGTGTGACATCGCTTCCAAGATGGACAATTTAAAACAAACAGGTTCATTAAAAACAACGAAACACAATGAAACTAGCATGAGAGTGGCAAAGCCTGAGACGGCAGAGCAGGGCATGGAACACGGGATCTACCTGGCCTCAGCTCAAGTGCTATCAGGTTGGGGACCGAACGAGCAGCTCAGGGGACCCTTTTTCCATCAGTTCAGCCACGAAGGGCGGGGGATGGGGTCTGCCGTCCCACCTTCCACTGGGCAGGAGAACAGCTGCTACAACAAATTTGATGCACACGATTCTCATCCCTGGACACGACTCCTTCTTTGGATGTGGGAAGTTTGCTCAACTTCCCTGAGTCCGGGAGGTAAATGTTCTTTGGCCTACGCCACCATTTTTTTCATATTCCTTTCTATTCTTTTTTTTTTTCTTTTTGGGTCACACCCAGCAACGCACAGGGGTCACTCCTGGCTCAGGGGACCATATGGGATGCTGGGAATCAAACCCCGGGTCAGCCGCGTGCAAGGTAAACGCCCTACCCGCTGTGCTATTGCTCCAGCCCCTTCCTTTCTATTCTTTCTTTACATTCTGCTTTCTCTTCTGCAACTCTGGTGCTGGTCTAAGGCTCAGTTCTGGGGCCACAAGCCTTGGAGGCTGGGACTTTTATTTTTCTTTCTCTAATTTCTCTCTGTGGCCCAGATGGGATCATTTCTTACTGGCTTCTCCTCTAGTTCACATTATTCCCTGACTCTCCCCTGTTCCAGTAGCTTACCCAATAAACGCCTTCTTTTCAACCCAGCCACTGTAATTTTCAGTTCTGAAAATCTCCGCTTGGTTTTTCTTGACATCTTCTGGTTTCTTTGGGGGTTTCTGTTGTCTCCTGTTTTCGCTGTGACTTATTTTGTTTTCCACTTCTTTGAATGGTGCTCATAATTGCTTAAGGATTTTTTCTTTCTTTTTTTGATGATGGCTGGTTTAAAATCCTTGTCAAGTAATCCCAACCTCTGTCATCTTGAAGCTGGCAGCTGTTGATTATCTTTTCTCAAGGAGGTTGCAATTTTCCCTGTTCCCGGGGTGCTGAATGATTGTGGACAGTGCCCTGAACCTTCCTCCCCTCGAGATGCTGACCCCTCTGACGTGCTCTATTTTAGCAGGCAGTTGAGGTTCAGGATGTACGTCCCAGCCCACTCTTGTGGGCTGTGGACTGCAATATCGATTTAGGTTTCAAAGCCTTTCTGGCACTATTCTGGTCTGCTGGACTCATGTGCTCCTCAGAGGCTGCCCGGGAACCTGGGCATTATCCTACACCGCTGCTGAATTCCAACAAGAAGGGCTTGAATTGATGCCCTGCCCTCCCTTCCCTTTCCCACCCCTCCCCTCCCCTCCCCTCCCCTTCCCTCCCCTTCCTTCCTTCCTTCCTTCCTTCCTTCCTTCCTTCCTTCCTTCCTTCCTTTCTTCTTTCTTCTTTCTTTCTCCCTTCCTTCTCCGACTCTAAAATTCCACACACAAGGATCCACAGTCTTCTTTGCATCTGGTTCTGTTCACCCGGCCTAACACCTCTGAGCCTTATCCATGTTGTTCACATGAGTCAGCAGCTATCTGTACTGCTAAACTAGTATTTTTTCGAGGCAGAGATGGGCCACGGTTTGCTCTTCCACTCACCGATGGTCTTTAGTTCTCAGATCTTGATAATGGAGCATAAAAACTCTTAAGTCCGAGGCTTCTCTGTAGACACATGTTTCCATTTATTTCTGGAAGTGGGGTCGTATAAAAAGAGTGTCCTTCTCGCCTCATGAGGACCTGCCACACAGTTCTGCACGCTGGCTGCCTCCCTCGACAGTCATGTCTAACTGCTCCACATTCGCCGCCAACAAGTGCCACCGTCTGCCTCGTCCATCTGAGTCATCCGCCTAGCGAGTCTCGCTCACCATCATCTGGAGGGGTTGATTACAGAATTGCCCCAAGGCTACGATGCCAAGGAGGTTCTCTCCATTAGTTTGTATTTTTGTCTGCTCCTGGTCAAGCAGCTGTTTGAAACGTCTTTTCTGTTTATTTATTTATTTTTAATGTTTTCTTCTTACGGAGTTGTGACCATTCTCTATGTATTTGAGTCAACTCATCCTGCATCACATAGGCTCTGAAAATATTTTCTCGGTCTCTAACCTTTACGGATGCCTAGAAGTGTCTTGAAATCTTACTGAGATTGATGAAAGTCCACTTGATCCACTCTTGGTTTTTTTGTTTTTGTTTTTGTTTTGGATCTACACTGGCAAGTACTCGGACTTACTCCTGGCTCTGCCCTAAGGGATCACTCCTGATGGTGCTCCGGGGACCAGGTGGGGTGCCAGGGATCAAACCTGGTTCCATCGCTTATAAGGCCAACATCCTCCCCGCTGTATGGTTGCTCTGGCAACGTTTTCGCTTCTTTTTAAAGTCATGCTCTTTGGTCTTCTATTTAAGACTCACTGTTTCGCTTAGCCCACGTTGACTGGGAGACGTTCCTTTGTTTCCTTTAACTAGCTTTATAATTGTAGTGCTGGCATTTACGACGAGGGCTGATTGGGAATTACATTTTTATATAGTGGGTAGTAAAGGTCATGACTTGCCCCCAAATCCCTGACTTCTGACATACTCCCCAGTTGTTCCAGCCCCACCCACTGAAGAGGTAGTCTGTATTCCATGGAAGTGACTCTGCTGGAAATAAACTGACCGAACATGCATGGCCGATCTCTAGACTTCTCTGTTTCAAGAGTTGTATAACGTGTGCACTGACACCACTACCAAGAGAGTCTTGGCGACTGTAGTTTTAGAATAAGGTCATCTATTTCCTGCAACTTTAGAGAAGAAAGAGAAGAACTTAGAAAACCTAGTTTTCCTAGGTCTACTGTATCTCCCTTTCGACTTTAGAACTAGCTTCTCAATTTCATCCAAAAAAAAAAAAATTCTGGGGTTTTGACTAGGATTGTTTTGAATTTATAGCACAACTTGGGGGAGAAATTATTATTATTAATAATAAGACCATAGATCCTTATGTATGGTCTGTCTCTCCATTTATGAAGGTGCTCTGCAGTTTCCCTGAGCACTGCTTTATAGCTTTCTCTGAACTTACCTGGTACTTTTTTTTAAATTAAAGATTTCAAGTATGTCTTTTCTTTATGCTACTGTACGAGTATACATAGAATTCTTGGGGGGCTGTAGCGATAGCACAGAGGTAAGGAATTTGCCTTGCACGCAGCCAACCCGGGTTCGATTCCTAACATCCCATATGGTCCCCTGAGCACTGCCGGGGTAATTCCTGAGTGTAGAACCAGGAGTAACCCCTGTGTATCACCAGGTGTGACCCCAAAAAAGAAAAAAAAGAGTATACATAGAATTCTGGACAGCTTTTTGGAAATAGACTTGACACGTGATAAACAGAACCATGTTTCCAAGTGTCTGTGTTGATTATGTTTTGACATCTGTGTGCACCAGTAAAACCAACATCCCAGTTAAGACACTGAACCCAACTGTCCCCTCCCCTGCCCCCACTCCCTGGCTGTATGACACTTTGGCGGAGCTCAGGCCCGAAGCTCCTATGACTGCCGCCACCACCCACGGCCCTCACGGACATCCTCCCTGACAGGGCTCATCCCTCCCGCCTGCTTTTCACCAGGCCTGGCTCTGGCACTTTCCCCCGGGGAGACCTTTCCTGGTCTCCACACTTAACCCCTGACTCCGGCCTCATCCATCAGCCGCGGCGAATGGGCAGGCGACAGGGAATGTGGCTCCCTCAAGACAGGAGGCCCCGCCTCCGCGCCCCAGACGCGGCCGGGCACGGCTGGCCGGCTGGCCAAGGCTCTGCTTTCTGTCTGTCAGTGTCGCCGGGCTGGCTTCTTCTTCACGACCTGATGTTTTTATTGTCGCGGGGCCCTCGTTGCTCCGGCCTGGGGAGCACTCACTCTTCCGAGGAGACAGCGATTAAGTGCTTGTTAAACGCCAGAGAGAGATGCGCTTTGCCGGGAACGCTCCTTGGGAGTTCCCAGCCAGAAGGGACGGGCACCACTGCTACCCCCTACTGCCCCCCTTCCCAGTTTTAAAGCGGCTTCATCATCCCCACCCTGACTCTCTACCAACCTGTGTTTGGAGTTCATTAAAATTTCCCAACTATGATGTCTGAGAAGGAAATAAAACAATTCTTGTGGCCACACCTAGCAGTGCTCAAGGTTTATCCTGCTGGGGCTCAGGAGACCACTGTGGGTGCTGGGGATCGAACCCAGGTCAGCTGCCTGCAAGGCAAGGGCCATTGCCCACTGCTCTGTCTCTCTCTGGTCCAACAAAACACGTTCTTATTAGAAAAGACTTGCCCGGACAAGGCCCTAGAAACCCAGGCGATCAAGACCCAGTGCCAAACCCTCCTCACCTCGTAACCGAACTGCAGCTCATCCGAGGTCAGCATGATGATATCGTCATCGATGGCCAGAACGGCCTCTGTTTCGATCTCGTCGTAAGGAAAGAAACGGTTACTCAGCTTGTTCTCGGCGGTCCTCACAACTTTTAACGGAACCCGGATTTTGGGCCAGAGAGATTCTAAACATTAAAAAAAAAAAAACATATATATATATATATTAAACAAAACCCAACAACATGGAATTTATTACTCCTCTAACTTTTCTGAGTAGGTAACGTGGTGAAAGCATCGTCTCACAAATGAGATGAAAGAATCAACTTACATCCCCGGCTCTCATTAAATCCACATGGACAACTGTGCAATGGGAACTTCTGACAGAGGCATTTTTATCATGTTTTATATTCTCCATGCTTTTTCTTCCCCCCCCCAAATCCTCAGTCCTTACTGCGCTGCTCAGTTTCAGTCTCAGCACCACCCTAACCGGAGCAAGCACCTCAAACCAGAGGCAGAGATGCAACAGGACCCAAAGGGTCATGAGTCCGGCCCCCTCCCCGCTCTTGGGCCATGGCCTACAGTCAGAACTGCACGGCCTCCACTGCATCCTCCTGACTCAGGTTTGCCCCAACTCAGGCCCGGCCTGCGACTCTACGTGGACATGCAGTGCCCGAGTCGTGAGTCATAGACGGCCCCACCCGGGATTCCACCACGAGCGCTTCCATCCCTGCTGTGCCCCCCATCCCATGGACCACCCACCCCCGCAGTGGGCCCTTCCTCCAGTTCATGGGATTTGGTCTCTCGTGGCCATTTTCCAGAGCAGATCTCCAATGTCTAGGTCGTATTGGGGGGGGGAGTTTTCGAGTGCACAGGAGAAACCCCCCACCTCAAGACTGGCCTTTACATCTTTTTTTCCCGTGATACTTTGAAGTGCACGGCAAAGACTGGAAAGCTCCCCGTGGACGTATTTGATATGCCAAACACAATAACAAGTCTTGCAATGTTATTGGGCCCGCTCGAGCAAATCGATGAACAACGGGAGGACAGTGACAGTGACAGTGATACCTGGAAGTGACTGAAGCCATTTCCACCCCGGGCCTCCAGATTTTTAAGAACTGTCTCATTCAACACTGCAAGACATGCATTCTGCTTCACGTGGATGCCCAGAGATCTTGGGGTTCCCCATGGGACATCTGCCACATGAGGGCCGGAAGGCAAGAGGCACCACATGGCTTTGAAAGCGTCCCTCGTGTCACCGTGGACAGATCTAGTGTTTGTGGGCACCCCCCACCCCCCTGCCACACACCCCTTCTGAGTTCGGAGATGGCCTCTTGCTTCGTCATCCCAATACTTGGAGAGTTCCCTGTGTGCCCAGGAAAGGGATGCCTGGAATTCAGGATGGGGCCCACCCAGTCTGAATCAGCCCAGAGCTGGAAGGCTGACCCAGTGCCTGATGAAACCTCTCCAGGGAAGAGACCAAAGAAATGATTCTGTGGGCCTCTGTCTTTTAAATCAGCAATAACCGATGCTGATAACAGCTCCACTGCCGGCACCAAATCACATCCTCGGTGAATGTCTGGGGGTGGGATCAAAGGCTGGATACAAACTAGGAGGCTAGATGGGGAGGCGGGCAAGTGGCTTCCTCATCAGGTAAGAATCCACAGAGAGAAGGGGGGGTGGGGGAGTGTGGGAAAGGTGGGCGGGGGGAGGGGGTGATCTCTACCCAGCGACTGGCGCACGTCAGACAGTCTGGAGGTGAAATGCCATTCGATCCTCCTCTGGGGCAGAAATTATTTACAAAGTGGTATTTACAAGGCTCCAGGAGGTTAAGTAACTTGACCAGGGTTAAAGAGCCAATAAACGATAAGGCTGGTTATGCGAATCTAAATCCGCCGAAGCATCAAAGGCCAAACAGGACTCGGAGCGCAGACAGCCCACGCTTCCTTCCAGGTACGGAGCCAAATGAGGACGCGCCATCCTTCATCCTTCTTCTCGTGGGCTCCCAGCTCCTCCTTCCGAATAAACAAAAAGGCTCCTGCCCGTAAATCTCTCATCCAAATCGATCCAAGCCACAGATTCACCGTCGTCCCGCAAAGGAAGTCTGACACTTCTCAAACGTCCTGGGAGCAGGACTCCCGGGTGCTCTCACAAACTGGGCAGGCTGCACCCCCAACCCCCTCCGCAAAGAGGTTTTATTTTGTGTGGGAGACACACATACACACATTTGCTGCATTAAAAATTAAAATAGAGGGGCTGGAGTGATAGCACAGCGGGTAGGGTGTTTGCCTTGCACGTGGCCGACCCAGGTTCGATTCCCAGCATCCCATATGGTCCCTCGAGCACCACCAGGAGTGATTCCTGAGTGCAGAGCCAGGAGTAACCCTTGTGCATCGCTGGGTGTGACCCAAAAAGCAAAAAAAAAAAAAAATTAAAACGGAGGGGGCTTGGGCTGGAATTCAGTGGCAGCGCAGAGACCTCAGCCCCCCGGCCCCACAGAAGAACAAGAACGACAGGGGCTGGAGAGCGAGTGCTGGGCTGTGACCCCCCGTTCAAATCTCTGGCACCACATATGGTCCCCAGAGCACCATCAGGCATCAGACCTGAGCATAGAGCTAGGGAGAACCCCTGAGCACCATCATCAGCTGTGGCCCAAAACACCTCTACCCCGCAAAAAAAAAAAAAAAGGTTTAACACAGCCTTTAAAAAGAAAAAAGAACAACAAGATAGCAACTGCAACAAACAAGCAAACAAAACCCCACTCACCCTTCTTCCCCCACCCCCCACCCCCCATCATGGGGAACAACAATAAATGGAAACTAAACACTTTTTTTTTTTTTTTGCTTTTAGGATCACACCCAGCAATGCACAGGAGTTACTCCTGGCTCTGCACTCAGGAATTACCCCTGGCGGTGCTCAGGGGACCATATGGGATGCTGGGAATCGAACCTGGGTCAGCTGCGTGCAAGGCAAACGCCCTACCTGCTGTGCTATCACTCCAGCCCCTAAACACATCTTAGAACACACACACAGGTAAGGCCAGGAAAGTGCCTTGTGGGAGAAGGTGGGAGTGAGCTGAAGGCAGCACCTGAATGTTACCATGGGGAGCGGGTTGGTGATATTTCCACCTTACAGGCTCTCTGTGGCAGCTTTGTGGGGAGGGGGCTGGGGCAGGCTGGGTTCCCCTGAGACCCTCTGCACTTTACTGTGTATTCGCCTGTGGGGGTCACCCTTTGAAGAAGGACCCTCCACTAGGAGAGACAGGACAAGCTCAGGGAGCTGCCTGGAGCCAGGACCTCTATAGAACGCCTCAAGGAACTCGGTGCCTGCAGCCAAGTGATGGCCTCTGGGCCACCAATTCACCCCAGGCATCTGGGCATCTTTTCTCTCTCTACCAGGATGGAATACTGGTCCTTCCTCTGCCCCGTGGCATAGCCATAAGCCTTGCCAGTAGAGGGCGCTGGAGGGATGCTTTGAAGAAGGTTTTTTTTTTTCCTTCCAAGTGGTGGGGGGGTGGGGGTAACAGAGCACTTTTTTCTTTCTTTCCCTTTCTTTCAGGGGGTGGGGTGGGAGGAGGGTGGGGATCACACGCAGCAGTGCTCAGATCTTACTTCTGCTCTGCACTCAGGGATCACTCCAGGTGGTGCTTGGGTGGGGTATCCTATAGGGTGCTGGGGACCAAACCCAGGTCAGCTGTGTGCAAAGCAAGCACCCTGCCTGGCCCCGGCTCTGGGGGACTTTCGGCCTCACTCCCTCAGCATCTGGCATGCAGGCAGGTAGACTGGGCCACCTACCCACAGCATGCTCTGCAAGGTGACCAGCCCCCTGGCATGCTCGGCTGCTGTCCCGCCAGCAGCTCACTGGAGGCTCTCCCCAAACAGGGGTCCATGTGGGCATCACGGAAGCCCTGACCAGCTCCTCGGCAAATCTCCCCAGCAAATCCGCCCCCCCCCCCCGGGTGGCTTTCCCATGGCTCTGTGGCATCCCAGGGGTGAGTGGCTCCATGCCACCAGCCTGGGTGTGTCCCCAACCCCTACCCCCCTTCTGGAAATGCTACCCGGCAGCGGGCAGCCCCTCAGGCCAAGCTGGGCAAGGACTGCTCCCCCATCTACTTCCGGGGTCATTCTTTGAGTTCTGCACGCCCTCCTCACTGACTCCCGCTCCCCTACCCTCCCCACCGTGCCTCCCGGCCCCTTCCCCGATCTGGAGTGTGAGGCAGGTGAGGAATCAGGGGGACTGTCCTCCAGGGCCCCTCAAGCAAGGCCATGGCCAATGGCTGGGTGGAGTATTTACTGATACTGATAAATAGGGGTATTTACTGATTTGGACTCAAAATGGCGAAGAATGTTCTCATGGTATAAACTGACTTAAGATGAGGTGAAACGCTTGGAGCAACACTCAGTCTTTCTTTCTTTCTTTCTTTCTTTCTTTCTTTCTTTCTTTCTTTCTTTCTATTTTTGGGTCACACCCGGTGATGCCCAGGGGTTACTCCTGGCTCTGCACTCAGGAATTACCCCTGGCGGTGCTCAGGAGACCGTATGGGATGCTGGGAATCGAACCTAGCTCAGCGGCGTGCAAGGCAAATGCCCTACCCGCTGTGCTATCACTCCAGCCCAGCACTCAGGCATTTTCACTCCAAAAATACTCCCTGGCACCGCATGGTCACAGAAGTGACCTGCAAGTACTGAGCTGGGAGTAGTCCCCAAGCATCACTAGGTGCGGCCTCAAAACAAAACAAAACAAAAAAAAGATCAAAGCAAGAACACCCTGCCTCAAGTCAGCCTGTTCTGTGACACATCATCAGGTGAGAAATCCAACAAGTCACCCCCGAGTCTTAGGACTGCCTCTCAGTACTGGGGAACAGCTTCAAATCCCGGAAAGACCCCTTACTAGCCATATATTAATTTTGTTTTTGTTTTATTTGGGGGAGGGGCACAGACCCAGAGGATTTCAGGGCTCACTCCTGGCTCTGTGCTTCCGGTGGGGAGGGGGGGGTGTCACTCCTGGTGGTGCTCAGGGGAACATATGTGGTGCCGGGGAACAAACTCGGGTCAGCTGTGTGCAAGGCAGGCGCCTTCCCCGCTGCTCATGAAGAACTAGGACCCACCCCCTTTACCTCAACACACACACACACACACACACACACACACACACATCTGAATCGGGGGCTGGTTGGGGCGTTCTCTAGAGCAATGCAAGTTTGTAATGGAAATAACACAGAAGGCCAACGCACGCCTACGTGAAATGTCCAGCGTGATGGCTTCCAACTGAGGCCAGAGGCCAAGGAGGGTCAGCGCTGCGGTCCACCAAGTCTGAGAGCTGAAGATTTGGGGGCAGGGTGGGGAGAGGGCGGGGGACGAAGGGGGACATGGCTGGCCTCACTTCTCCGGCAGAGCACAAAACCAATGTGACGAAAGTGTGCTGGAAATTTCTATTGCCTGGTTGGAATATTTGCTTAAAATTTCAAACCAGGCAATTTAGACTTAACTGGAACTGAAAGAGCCGGGGTGGGGGGCGGGGGGAAGGAATTTGGTTGGGTTGGAGAGTAAAAAAAAAATAATAATAATAATAATAATAATAATAATAATAATAAAGGGGGAGCAGGAGTGGGGTGGTTCCCGCCTCCACTAATTCTCAGAGCAGCCGACACGTTCACCGCGATATTTATTTTAGTAAATGCAGAGAAAGCGAAAAACATCACGTTGCCCTCTAAGGTTTCAAAGCCCGGGACGGGGTCTTTCCAAAATATATATGTTACTAATGTCATACGCGAACAACAGTGACAACAGAAAAACAAAATCCGATGGCGATGCTGGCGGGAGGCCCGGAGCCGACAGCCCCACTTGCCACTGGAATGGACACCCCACGGGGGAGGAAATATGGCTCACATGCTCCCCAAACAAGTCCAGTGGCAAGAGCCTGGCCCAGAAGCATCGTCAGAGTAGAGCTGATTGGGTCTCTACAAGGGTCGGTCAGAAATGGGGACGTGCATTGCCAAGTACTCCCGTTCCTCCCCGAAGCCCAGAAATCTCAAAAATAAAGTGAAGCTGGGGGCTGGAGCACTAATTCCAGTGGGCAGGGAGTTTGCCCTGCATGAGTCTGACCCAGATTCAACCCCCAGCATCCCCTAAGCACCACCAGGAGTTAATCCCTGAGTGCAGAGCCAGGAGTGAGCTCTAAGTAACACCGGGGGGGGGGGGGGGGCCCAAACCCTAATAAATTAATATATAAAATTTAAAAATATGTAAAACGAAGTCTTGGTTCTTCAATGAAACACTACGTTTCAGGTGGGTCTGCTAAAAACCCCAACACCTGGCTCCCCGGCCTAGCCCGGGGGTATTGCCTGGGCCACTCGGGGAAGGTGAAAACTGCCCCCTTCTCACGGCCTGCCCAGTCACGGGCCAGAAAGGAGAGACTCGGAACCACCAGAGGGAATTCATCTCAACCCAGAAGGCTCGCTAAGCCCAGTTTCCCGGGACACCCTGCACCACTAGCCTTTAGCAACTCTGCCCAAGTTTCCTATCGGGAAGCAGGTGGAGTGGGCAAGAGAGAGCAGAAGCGGGCAAGAGAGGGCAGGAGAGGGCAGGAGCGGTTCTTCTCCAGCCCTGAGGCCTGTGTGCAGGATCCAGTGTGTGAGTGAGTGTAGGGGAGGGAATGTGGTGACGATCAAAAGGGCGGTTCCAGAGTCCGGACCCCCTGTGGCCTACCTTCTGGGCACACCCCATTGCCCCTTGTCCTGGAAGAGAGAGAGAGAGACAAACCCCCACAGTTCCCTTCTGGGGAGCAGCAGCACTGCTGGTGGGGCTCCCTCCCGCCCTCCTTCCCTGCTCTCTCTCTTTCTCTCTCTCCTGTCTCAGAAGGAGCCAACACCTGGGCTTTCCCTTCTTCCCCTTTCTTTCCCCTTTGCAGAGAGTTCAGACAGAGCAGGGAAGGAAAGAGCCGGGCCTGACCAGAGCTAAGAGGGAGACAGTCCATCACCCGCTCCCCCCACCCCCAAGGGGCGAGCTTCAGGGCCAAAGGCAGGGCCTTCACCGAAAATAGCTGCTTGGTCGGCCGGGCGGCAGCTCCATAAATCTACAAAGGAAGTACATGATTCCTTCGGAGAACAAAAATCCCACTAAGTTAAAGATGTTTTAACGACGCGGCTGAAGGATTTTCTCGAGGCACTTTGCTGACTTGTCTACCAGACAAGAAATAACGGTCTCCCTCCTCCGGCCCGCGCTAGGCAGCTAAGTGAGGGCCGCCCGTCCTGACTTCAGTATAACCAATTAAGAGGGAATAGCCATTAGGGCGAAAAAAAAAAAAGGCACAGATACTACTGTCAGGCAATAAACCAGGCCTTATCGGTGATAGTGGTGCACATTACAAACTTCAAACTCATTCCTCGCTCTAATCCATCAGAAACTTCCTGCCTTTAATAGCCTATAAAGGGCAGGGCCTTTGAAGTGCCCGGATTAAGATCAGTAATCGAAGGACCAGAATGAGAAACTCAATGCAGGTGGAACAGGCATCGTGGGTCCTGAATCAAAAACAAATCCCGGGACTCAGATGGTCCTCGGCCCTGCGCTTGCCGACTGGGCAGACCCACGGGGTGGCCACAGTCTGGAGGAAAGGCGGCTGACGGGGAGCCAACCGGGTGCATGGCGGCGCCGGGCAGGGAGGCCACACAGAGCCCAGCAACGGGCATCCAGACTTGGGACCGTCCTCTGTGAAGAGGCACAGGGCACGGGGTGGATGAGATAAGGAGGGACCAAACGGAGGCCTCTGGAAGGGCGCGCCCCTGTAAACAAGCGTGCGCGGGACCCCCAGCTCCACTTTCCCAAGGTCGCTGGCCTTTGATCCTCCGGAGTTTTAAGCTCTCTCGCCCCTTGTGGCTTACAGAGCAGGCCAGGGGCTTGGCAGTTAAATGGGCCACCCCAGAAACAGGGGTGAGGTGATTGCAGGGAAACGGGGCAGGCGGTGGAGGGGGAGGGCGGACGGGGAGGGGGCCCGTCTGCCTCCAAAATGCATTAAGCGCTAACAAAACAGGGCCAATCCATTGGCCGTGTCTGGGGCCACTGGGCTTGTCTGCTCGCCAAGGATGCGTGTCACTGGGCCAGCCCGGAGTGCGCCAGCTGAACCCAGCCAGGGCTGTGCTGAGCGCCCACCCCACCCCCCACCCCACCCCACCCCCTTACCCTTAAACCCCCGCCTGCATCCGTACCTTCGGGGGGGCTTTTATTCTGGTTGTTCCACACGACCAGCAGCTTGGAGAGGCTGGGCACCTTGGACACCTCGGTGATGACCCGGAAGAGACTCTCCACGCGGTCATAGGTGAGGACGATGGCGGTGAAGCCCTGGGACTGCGGTGGGATCAGGGGGAGGAAGAGGGGGTTGCTCACGCTGGCCCACTTCTGCAAGAGAACGGAATGGACGTGGTCAGGGAGGAACCTGACCTTACTGGGTCACCCGCTGCCCCCAATATGTCTGTCTTGGTGCATGGGGTGGGGTCAGTGGGGAATGGGGGGGGGACCGGACCCAGCAGCTCTGACCGGCCGGTTGGGCCTTTCTCCATCCTGGACATCGGCACGGACTCCCCACCCCCGAAGCCTGCCCACTGGGAAAAGCGCAGGAACCTTCTACAGTGCACCAGCATCAAGCCCGAGAGTCCCAGGCAGCCAGTCCCCTCACCCCCAGGGGTGAGAGTGGACGGAGATGACATGTGAGGACAGACAGTGGCCAGTGAGCAGAAGCAACGTGTCGCTTGGGTTCTGGTTGGGTCTGGGACCTCCCGGGCAGCAGTCAGGCAAGTCTCAGGGCTGCTCACTGCCCCTGGGCCAACCGGGCCAGACGCACAATGCTCAGGCCCGAGAATGTGGTGCTGTCTGGGGCCAGCAGGGTGTGTGTGTGGGGGGGGGGGGCGGGGAGGGAAGGCTGCCTCACACCTGGTCCCATGCGTGCTCAGCCCTGCCCTGGACCCCTGGGCCCTGGCTTTGGCCCCTAACTTGCTTCTGAAAAAAGACTTGAAAGGGGCTATAGAAGGGGAAGCAGCCGGAAGTAGGGGAGTCACAAAGACGGGAGCCACGAAGGGGCACAGGTTCCCACAGCTGAAGCCCAGGCAGGCTCGAGAGCCAGGCTTAGAGGGCACCGCAGGAGCAAGCAGAGAGAACTAGGTAGGAACAGGCTGGAGGAGGGGGGCTGGAGTGATAGGACAGCAGGGTGGGGTGCACACTTTGTGTGCGGCTGACCCGGGTTTGACCACCACTGGCACCTGAGCCTCACCAGGAATGATCCCTGAGCACAGAGCCAGGAGGAAGCTTGGATGACCACTGGGTGTGACCCAACCCCCCTCCACCACACACACACACACATACACACACACACACACACACACAGATATATATGTAAGGAGCAGACAGGCTCTGACTCACCAGCCATCCCTCCCCCCTCCACCAACCCATTCTGTGGGACAGGGACGTTCCTCCCGCTTCAGCCAGAGAAAGAAGAAAGATGCTTTCTCTGACAAGGAACGCTGGGGCGTGGAAACCAGGCTGGGGTGAGAGTTGGTGCGAACTCTAATCTCCGGGTGAGCTCCCGCTGCCTTCCTTTCGGCGGTGTCCAGGTACCCACTCCGTGACCTTCCTGGGAAGCTCCCCTGTCCCGCATGGAAACTTTGGATCAGGCTCCTTGTAGCTTCCCTCTTAACTATGAACAGATTCCAGACCCTCTCTCTCACACACGCGCGCGCTTCGGGAACGTCTTCAGCATGGGCAGAAGCCACATGGACACTCAGAACCACAAAGACTTGGAGGGAAACGGGCACGAGAAAGCAGCAGGAGGAAGTGAGAACAACATCCTTAACAAACCGTAACCTCGGAGAAAGCAGACACCCCACCCGGGAAACGAGGACGGCTGCCTCCACTTAACAAGTTCCATCACGGGCAGGAAAGAACGTTTGGATATTAACAACTGTGCTACTTAGAAAAAAATAAATAAATAAATAAAACAAAAAAAAATACCAGCAACCGTTGAAAAACAAAGACGACAATGTATTCCAGCTTGGGGTGACAAAAAAAATGATATTAAAAATGGGGGCCAAGAAGGTAAGAAATTTTCGGAGATCCAACAGCCATGGAAAAGGAGCGTCCTGAGAGTGACGACACAGAATATGGATGAAACTAGCCACCAAGAGATTGGAGAGGTTCTGGGCACAGAGGATGGGATGACCCCGGGTCGCCACACAGGAAGGGTTCCAAATGGGACAGGGACACGCAAGGATTTTAAAGACAGCAATAACAAGCGATGGGGGAAAACCCCAGGCCCTGACAGAGTGCATCTGCTCTGGGCACTGACTGATGATTCTCCTTAGCGTTTCAGCCAGTTTAACCGTCTTCCGAAACAAAGTTCAGCAGGGGCCAGGAGGACTATTCCATTATTCCATGGTTATAAGCTTGCCACAAGTGGTATGGGGGGAGGGCAGTTAGGACAGAGAAGGGACCACTATGTTAGATGGAAATGATCATTCCGGACAGGAACTGAATGCTGAAAGGAGGTAAACGGATACACATATAATCTTTCAGTACCTGTACTGCAAACCACAATGCCCAAAAAGAAGATGTGAGAGAGAGAGAGAAAAAAAGAGGAGAGAAAGAGAGAGAGGGAGAGGAAGAGAGGGAAAGAGGAGAGAGAAAGAGGAGAGAAAGAGAGAGGGAGAGGAAGAGAGGGAAAGAGGAGAGAGAAAGAGAGAGAGAGGGAGAGGGAAAGAAAGAGGAGAAAGAAAGAAAGAAAGAAAGAGGAGAAAGAGAGAGAGGGAGAGAAAGAGGGAAAGAAAGAGGAGAGAGAAAGAGGAGAGAAAGATAGAGAGGGAGAGGAAGAGAGGGAAAGAGAAGAGAGAAAGAGGAGAGAGAAAGAAAGAAAGGAGAAAGAGAGGGAGAGAAAAAGAAGGAAAGAAAGAGGACAGAGAAAGAAAGAGGAAAAAGAGAGAGGGAGAGAAAGAGGAGAGAGAGGGAGAGAAAGAGAAAGAAGGAGGAGAGAGAAAAAGAGAGAAAGAGGGAGAGAGAAAGAGAAAGAAAGGAGAGAGAAAGAAAGAGGAGAGAAAGAGAGAGAGGGAGAGAAAGAGAAAGAGGAGAGAGAGAGAGAGAAAGAGAGAGAGAGAGAAGTGACTGCCATAGAGGCTGGCTGGGGGCAGAAGGTGGCAGGGCCATTGATAGTGGAAAATGAACACTGGCGAAAGGACAGGCATTGGAATATTGTATGACTGAAACCCAATCATGACCAACTTTGTAACTATGTATCTCATGGTGATTCAATTAAAAAAAAAGTTTAGGAAGTAAGGAAGGAAATCTGGAATATTTGCGAGCACAGAAGCATGAGGTCATTTTGAAAGCAGCGACATGAACAAAAGTTGTGTGTTGTGCCCATGCAGGAAAGACAGCTCACGCACGCTAGCGCCCACGTCTGCTTTTCAATAGCCGCGTTGCGAATCGCGTGTCCTCTGGGCACCGGGCCCACTCCGGGTCACTCTGATTTTACTCTACGTGCTGCCAAAGCGGGCAGCCCTGCTCTTAACATTCTTAACCCCGATGCCATACAATCTGCTCGTTTGAAGAATCCAACGGTACCGGGAAGTACTTTCAGGAATGGGAAAACTGCATCACCACCCATTTTTCCACGAGACAGGCGGTCGGGCTGATTGTCACGGTGTAGAACCCAGAAGTCCCAGAGACGATCACGTTCACGCTCACGTGGACCATGACACGGACAAAGTTCGGGACCTAACACCAGCACTGCCGGAGGTGGCTGATGAGAAAATGTCCCTGACGCTCCTCCTGCTGTGTCCCCGGAGTCTTCCTCACACTGTGATTCCCAAGTGGGTCGCCCCTCCTGCCCGCCTCAACACCAGGCCCATCCCTGATGGACACCCACCACCACCACCACCACCACCACCGAGAGGACGGCAGCTGCTTGCCAGATGGAACAGTGGGGGCCAGGAAATGTACACAGACACATGGAACACACATGGGTGGGAACTCAGCCCGGGATGCTGCAGGGAACCAGGATATTAAGGCCGGCGTGTCCACAACAGACAGAATTAGATCCCGCGACCGAGAGGCACGCCAGGACGGGCCCTCGCTCCCATGCCACCAGTGTCTGCTGCTGAATGTAGCCCCGCAGTCTTAGGAGAGGGTCGCTCTGATTTTACTCTACGTGCCTCTTAGGAGATGCGTTGAGTCGGTGCTGGTCTGACTTCCTGGAACCCCTCCGCTGTGAGTTTCCTGTCCCCCATCCTAGCCTGAGCATCTTCCTTTGCATGGATGCCGGTGACAGCGGAGTGCCATGGACATGGTTAGGCCACCACGAAGCCCCACAGTTGTCCCAGTCTCTGCAGGCACCATCCCAACCCTCTCACCTACATAGAACCCTCTGAGGCCTGGGGAGACACCTTTCAGCGGAAAATAAAGTCTTAAAGGGTAAGTGTGTAAGATCATTTAATGTGTGATCCTGAAAGTCAAGGCTGATTGAGACTGAGTCTCACACCACCACACCCCTAGATGGAGGCATTTTTATTTTATTTCACAGATGATAGAAGGGTAGGGTTAGAAATGGCAACTGGGAGCCAGAGAGAGAGAGAGAGAGAGAGAAAGAGAGAGAGAGAGCAGGTAAGGTGCTTGCCTCGCATGCGAAGACCTGGGTTTGATCCCCGGCACCCTATGTGGTCCCCCAAGCACTGGCAAGTGTGATCCCTGAGTGCAGAGCCAGGAGTAACTCCTAAACTGTGCCAGGTATGGCCCAAAACTCAAAAACAGAAATGGCAATTGATATGGGTGGCGGGGGGTTGGGGGGGGGGGGGAGAGTATCAAAGAGTATAGGGGTTAAGTCTGTTGTCTAGTACATGGCTGACCCTGCTTCAATCCCCAAGCACTACCAGGAGTGACCCCCGAGCACAAAGCCAGGAGGAAGTCCCAAGAAAGAGCAGGTGTGGCCCAACACTGACACATACATTAAAGGAAGAAAGAAGAAAGAAAGAAAGAAAGAAAGAAAGAAAGAAAAGAAAGAAAGAAAGAAAGAAAGAGAAAGTGGAAGGAAGGAAGGAAGGAAGGAAGGAAGGAAGGAAGGAAGAGAAAGTGGAAGGAAGAAAGAAAGGAAGGGAGGGAGGGAGGGAGGGAGAGAGGGAGGGAGGGAGGGAAAGCAAAGAAGGAGAGGAGAGAAGAGAAGAGGAGAGGAGAGGAGAGGAGAGGAGAGGAGAGGAGAGGAGAGGGGAGGGGAGGGGAGGGGAAGGGAGGGAAGGGGAGGGGAGGGGGAGGGGAGGGGAGATGACAAGCAAGAGAAGAAAGTGAGTTGAAGTTTCTTTAATCTAAAAGAGCAAGAGCCTCTGAACAGTGGATGGTGTGTTCCCGCCTGCACCCAGGTCCTG